CGGAGACGCTGCGGCAGCGGCTGGAGACGGTGTCGGTGCTGGGGAACGCGTTCCTGAGCAGGCAATTTGGGGTGAAAGTGGACGTTGACTCTGGTTCAGGCACTCCTCCCCTGGCTGAGCAATCCCTGAGCGGCGATGCCAAACCCTTCAACCCGGCAGTGGCGAAGGAGGCTTCGGTCCTCCGGCGGATGGCTGGTGGCGGCAACGGAGTGTCAGCTGTGAAGCCTCCGCTGTCCAGCAGCGATCGAGCGCCGCTGACGTTCGATCTGACCAACTCGGTCCGTAATGGCGCAAACGTGAATGCGGGGGGGTGTGGGCAGGGGGAGAACCGGGTCGCGAAACCGTTTGGGGTGTCGGGCGGATGGGGCAGCCAGAAGACCAATCCTCCAGGTATTGGGTCGCGAAGTTTTGTTTGACATGGGGTGGGTGTGTGACCATGGGTGGGGCAAGGAGTGATTGGACTTAAAGATCTGGTCGGGTGCGGTGGAGGGAGCCTGCAATGGTGTGTGTGTGTGTTGGAGCATTCTTCATGCTCGCAGAAGTGGAGGTGTGCCACATGTGCGTCTGACGCCCTGTCTCGATTGTCCCTGCAGGTTTCGGCATTGAGTGGGCGAGGTGTGGAGAATACAGCGAGAATCAGCCCGCCGCCCGGCTTTCCCTGTCCATGCAGACCACCGAAGCATCGTTCTCGGAGAAGGTCGCCCCGGCGGTGATCCAACCGCTGCAGAACCAGAATGTGAACATCAATCCCCCGAGGCTGCCACCCCTCCACAACGCGGTGGGCAAGCGCAGCAGAACGCTGACCCCAGTGAAGGAGAAGACAGTGAGTGCGTGGAGCTGCCTGGGGTTCACCCAGAGCCCTAACGACCTGGACTTCGGGTGCGAGAATGCGGAGGGCGAGGGTTACGGGGGGGACCCGCTGTCGCGAAGCCTGTTCAGTAAGGAGCTGGCGCCCATTCCCATGGCGGACCTGTCGGCGTCAGAGATGGAGATGAAGCGGCAGCGAAGGCTGAAAGTGTTTAGAGAAATGACTCTAGCTGCGAGTCCCCAAGCATGATTAGCGTAGGCCGACACCAGCCCTGCAGGCGACCCCGGCGGAGGCCCTAGTGAGGGCAGGTGTAGGCGTGGTGGCATGGAACGTTGTCACCAAGCTTCCACTGTCACGCCCCAAGTCCTCCGCGTGACTGCTTCTCCGAGCCGAGTGTAGGTCCTGGAAGTTCCGAGTACAAGCATGTCGAACTACAGGGATGGCGAAGGGATTCTTATGATCCCTTCGGAGGTGTAGGGGAGTAGGAGGATGCAAATGCAGGTAGCGCGCGGCGGAGCGCCCGTCTCGGCAGCCGAGATGGGTGAGTAGGCCGATCCGGGATGCAAAAGATGAAGCCAGGTCCGGGTGGCGGAGAGGTGGTGTGAGCGTGGAGTGTGGCGTTTGCAATCCACCTGTACAGTAGGAGTATCTGGTCCGAGGATTGTAGGAGTTTGTGTGTAAATTAGTAGGTTGAGAAGCCTCGGTGAGGATTGTGAGAAGTGCTTTCGCGCAGTCGTAATCAGTGACCTCCTTGGTCGCAAATTTTACCAGGGAAGACATTCTCGGTCCTACCGTTGTAGGTTATGGTACACTCTCGATGCACTGTCATGTAGCTACCCCGACCATCTTAGCGGGGTCCGGGTTGACACATTCGAGATTAGTGTCTATGGTTTCATGGTGGGTGAAGCCCCATCTATAAAATGTACGCCCCGCGGATGATAACTTGATGTCGTGTGTCCAGTCGTAACAGCTAGCGATGGGTATGGGGAATGTTGACTTGGGCAGTTGTTTGCCGAGACCTACGTGATAATCGGTCAGAGCTTGTACAAAACGGAGGATGTCCAAATGCTGTTCGTCGCCAGCGCATACGCACACACTCCCACGGTGTGGCCAGCATGGCGCACGTGCCAAGATTCAGTTTCCGTGCGGTTGGCAGAGAGTTCGGCGAATCTTGGCATCATGGTGTGGCAAGCTTGGAACCGCATTTCAACCGCTACCTGTCCGACGAGGCTGTGGATGTACTGTCGTTGACTATCTCAGGCGCGGGTCCGGTGCTCTCTGTGTTTCGCCAGCCCGGAATGTGTACCGTCCGGGAAGTCGTGACGGAACTGGGCAAGTCGCCCATTCCGAGCAACTTTTCCAGCCTCGGTGCCCTGCCTCTTAACGGTGCATGGTGAATACAGGCACAGTCCCTTCGCTGATCACAAGCGTGTGGACGAAGTCGGACGGGTCCAGTCCTGCTGGGAAGTAGGATTGCAATCATAGAAACTGGTAATGTAGCAGAACCCTGAGCAACAGATTCACACAAGTTGAAAATTGCCGGTGACTAAGATGGATCATGTGTAAACTTGCACTGTTCTGCGGTGGAACCAGTAAGAGACGGGCTTGGCATTTCTCTGCTATCGCTGCGTTGTGGCTGCAGCTCCCTTCACTGGGACACAACGGAGCAGTGTAAATGATATTTATGACGTAGGCGATGGATTTGAGCATGTGGTCGTGTGTCACAGCGCAGTCATATCATGGAGCAGATGTTCGTCACCCGTCAGGTTTCCACGTCGTTCACTGCACCCTTGCTGTTCGCTTTCCACCGCTGCACAGGCCCGGAACTGTCTCTCGCTGATTCCGGTGCAATTCCTGAGTCTTGCCTGACTTTTGAGTCCGGCGTTTATACATCTGTGAATGTCGTTTGACAGTTGGTATGTGGGAGCTTGCTCGTTGATTGATGCAAACGGTCATTTTGTATGTGCAGCACAAAGTTATGGTGTGGTTAAAATGGGTTAGTAATGCAGCCGACACTGTTCTAGAAAGGAATATAATAGAAATGATCTCTGGAGGTAGGGAGAAAGTTTATTCCTTGTAATCTTGGTGTATCACTTCTTAGCGTGCTGTCTTCCTGATTGATTTTGCAGTGTGGCAAGATTCCAAAATCACATGAGAGTTTGACAGTTATAACTTTTAAGGAGCATTATGTTGGGAGATTATATAGGATACCCATCTACACATAGATGGGATTGGTCTAAATTATTTGCTCTAAATAATCGGTATCAGGTTTTACTGGTTTTGACCTTAATATTGTTATTAGAGCAGATAGTTTTTGGTGGAAAAAATCTTTACAAAGAATTTGTTATATATCATCTAGATTATCTAATTATTTTTATATATATTTATGCAATTTAAGAAGAAAAATATGCCATGGGGAATAGCAAATTTTATTACATAAGTGAATAATGTTTAAAATTATGTATTTAAGTGTTAACTTGAAATGAATGAACCAATAAATGTACATAGAACATTTGATCAAACAAAATAGAATGGATGTAAAATTTACCATTTGTGTTTATTTACAAACAACAAAGATTATTTAATATGTTAAAGAACTTGTTCATGTTAAAAAAATTCTATACATGTAATGTAAGAAAATTAAGCAGAAATGATAATAAAAGGAAATACATGAACTTTGATTAGTATAAAACTAATACCAAATAAACAAGTTATAATTTATTTTTTTTATTGTAAAACAGAATTAAACAAACAAATGTAAGTAGGATACAAGAAGTGGATGTTGATTTTATAAGCAAGTTAATAAGATGTGACTTATCATAATATAGCTAAATTTATATATATATATATATATATATATATATGTATGTGTGACAAAATGAAACTGAAAGTAAAAAAAGATGCAATTGAGAATTCATTGATAAATATATTACTCTAGTATATTTTTTCTTTTACTATAACTTAATTTGATGTTTGGAATAATATCCATTAAAATTAAATAAAAATTAATAAGATAACCTTTTAAAATTTTAAGAAAAAAATGTACTAATAAATTTATATTAGAAAACTATTATTGTTTTATTTAGTTTTTTATTTTTATTTTTTTATTGTATAGAATATAAGTACTTTAAATTTCAAAAATAATTGTAATATATTAATAAAGATGCATAGTAAAGTAAACTATTAAAAAATAAAAATAAAAATAATACTTTATTAGATAACCACCAAATTCGGTGGTTCAAAATAGAGTTTAAAATAGATAATTAAATGGATTAAAAATAATTATAAGCAAATATAATTTTAGATAAATTAACAATGGCATTGCTAAATTTAAGGTATAAATAATATTTAAGATAATTAGGCTATGGTGTTGTAGCATCTTTGCCTAATCTTAGGTAAACAATTAAATCTTAGGACAATCTACTTTTTATATTAAAAACACTTAAAAATATTGAAAAAGTAATAAAAAATAATAATAATAATAATAATAATAATTGTAATAGAAAGATTAGATTTTGTTGCACTAAAATCAAATAAGAAATAAATAAATAAAATTGTAAAACATATAAAATAAAAATTTGAAGTTTAATTTAGGATTAGTTTATAAATAAATAAATAAATAAAAGTAGTATTATTGTAAATAAAAACTAACAATTTTTTGTTAAAAAAAAGTAGAAACATTGAAATTATTAATACTAGTGCTTTCAATCTAAAAAAGGTGTTAAAAAAATTATTTTATTCTAATGATGACAAGAAAAAAGAATAAAGAAAAAAAATCTATAAACATCTAAAGCTTAACTTAAAATTACGGCAAGAAACAGAATTCAGTAAATGTTTTTACTTCGTCATATAAAATTTTCAACACCTATATATTACTACAATTGTCGAAATGTGTAATGTGTTGGGTTTAGATTCGTTTCAAGAAAATTCCAGAGTTTCTAATTTCTATTATTAAATGCAAATATTCATATTTCTTTTAACAATGGAACATGTTATCATTTCTTGATACTATTTGTAAATATAAATTTTAACCATCAATTTGGTTCTACAGCTCATGTCGCATTCATCAGTATTCGATAGGATAATTCTTCCAAATGCTACATTATGTTTTTTAGCAGTGAGTTGTTTTCACCGATGCAGACTCCCATGCATGCATTGATGCTTCCATGGAAATTCAAATACACTCAGTCTCTTGCAATTCAGTAGCAACCAAGTCATAAGCACGTAACAATTACGGCTGCTTGAAAGCTTTCCTCATTGTGAAGGTAGCATTTATGTAAGCCATGTATACACAATTCAACAGGTGACATTATCATCCCTATCCAAAAATTTCCTGCCATGATGGGTTAGTAAATGCCCAATCGATGGTAGCCAAAATAATCTCCAGTTCTCCAGAGTTTCTCTATAAAAAAGAGCGACAATTATAGATACTTCGCCAATTGCTAAGCACTACCGCGCATGGATGACACATCAGACATGCTTATAAAATTACACGTCCACTTTCAGTGCGATCTTACCATCACAATCGTGAACAAACCATGAGCTCCAAGTGTTGAATGTGGATGGTTCCACCATCTGTGTAAGTGTTGTACAAAAGTTGCAGCTAAGCTGACACATGGTACATTTCGAACCTTGAATGAAATCAATTTCACGTCTCGGACCTGGCGGCCAGCATCTTCCGCAGCATCAACACCTGTTCGCACCAATAGGGTGACATTTCAACAGCTTAACGAGATGCGTCACTAGAAATGCATTAGGGTGAGAGTTGACAAAAAAAAATTAGTAATAAAGTACTCAACTCAAGTTTCAGTTTCAAATTGCATCACTGATCAGAAAAAGGGTTATGAAAAATTAGAGGGCTTTCCGTAAATTACTCTTGTGAACAAGCACTTACAAGATGACCGTTACAAGGCTGTACACAGGGAAGTCCATAATGAAAATTCCGAAAAGCTAACAGGGTGATGTTGACAGAAATCCTTGTAAGTTGCTAAAAGCAAAATAAACCTGAGTTAACAACTTAATTCAACTGGATATTTGTAACATAACCCGGAGTTTTATTTTTTAAATTCCCACCATGGACTACCCTGTACTTCTTGCGGCAAACCATTCCTTTGAACTTTTTATTTGAATATTGTACCATAAATTGACACGAAATCCTAGAAATACTTCTAAGCTCTGCGCAACATACTTTCATTTTTCGATTAAATTTGTGGATTATCTAAGAACAGTATTGAACGCTACTCAAGAATTGCGGCACTTAAATAATTCAAATTTCACCAGAGCACCGTGAGAAGACCTACCTGAAGGCACAGATAACAGCCGGTAGGATGGCTCCCCTTGAATGGGGACTGCACATTGACGTTATAAATCACTGAAAGGACCTTCACACTTCTCCTGAGAGTTTTGGGAATATTGAATTATGGCTTGACAGATCCTTTGTCGGAGGGCCTCTGAGTGATGAGCAGCTTGTTAAAGCATGCAACCCGGGAGTGCAAAAGAAGAGAGGGTTTGGTTGGGACCAGCGCACCTCCTGTTGCAAAGCCAGGATTTTAGATTCGTTTTCATGTTTCTCCTCCAAGGCTCTTAAACCCGCTGCTTCTATCATCCTATTATATGCTTCAACCTGCCAAACCACTATAGGGTTTATCAATCCTAACCTAAAATTTTCATAGCACTGACGTGGAATTTCAACCAACTTAAGTGCAAACTAGGGCGTCCAACTTCGGAACGAAAATTCAAAGATATGCAAAAATAACATGGCAGTCACTAGGGATGCACTAGGATTGCTTCTCGTGCAAGGAAGACGTGTCTACCTGTCCAAATGAACAGATCTGTTGTCGCTCGAAGTCCAGCTGGTTCCGTAAAATTGTTTGCTCCTGTTGCGAAGCATTAATTCACATCAGTATACTCACTCACAATTGACACGTCAATCGTCATACATGAGATATAAGCTTCTCATTTCTGCTACACTGCTTTGAGTGATTTCTTTGTAGCAGTAAAATACCATGTATATTACTATTCAATAATTTACAACCTTCTCCTGCAATCCTGGTAACAGGACCGTGTAACAGGAACTCTACGACCATACATATAGATAAATACTTATCTAGACCGTAATAGAAAGAGAGCAAAATCAATAAAAATTGACTTTAGGAGCTGCTAGGAGAGTTGCACTTAAACAAGGAAATCTCACAAGAGACTATATTCCAATTGAAGTGCGAGGTTCTTGAATACCTTGCGGGCGTTCTCCAACCAAGAAACATCGACAAACCACTTCTGCTGCCGTCGTCCAGGTGATGGAGGAGGCAACACTGGAAGGGAGTAATCATAGCGAGGCTGACCATAACTGGTGCTAGAGCCGATATTTCCACCATAACGACCAGCACTGCAGCCCTTCAATAGAAACCATCATTACCAAAAACTACAGAACAACATGCACACAAAGTATACACACGCTCTCCTTTATTTGAGCATACAAACCTATTACAGGCACTCTGTATTAAAACTTGGAATACAATCTCACTTTAAAATCGACAAAATGAAAAATGTGGGGAGATAGGATAATCTACACGCTGACCTAGGATATAATTCCCTTACCAAGTTCTACGAGATAAACATAAAGGACATAAGGTAACAGGCAGGCAGGGAGAGGGTTATACCCGCTGGAATTTTCGACCTCCAAATATGGGTCTGGCTGAATCTCCCTCGGACTATTGAAACTGCGTCCAAATGTATCTCCAAGAGAAAATCTTGTGCGTATTCGCAAGCTCTCCATTCCACTTTCCATAGAGAGTTGAGATGTGGGATGTGCATCATGCCGAACTATGTTTGGTAGTAACCTGTCCTTGTCCCCTTGGACGAGCGCTACATCAAAGCTAGCTACTCGTTTTAACTCTCGTACCGATGCAGCAATCTCGGCACTTTTTCTCTTCTTCTCCGACTCCTCCAATTTTGCTTGAAGTTCCTGGATATACAGATCAACCTCCTCCAAGTGCGATGTATGCACCTTCACCATGCCTTCTTTCTTAGATATGTCCGCCAACTTGGCTTTGATATTGGTGTCACCGTGCTTGATGAACCATTCCAGTTCTCTAAGAGCTCCTTGCACTATGGCTGTTTCCCCACGTTGGTCGGCAAGCTGATGAAGTATTTTGTCGTTCGCAGATAGAAGCTCTTGCTCCTTACGCATCCACACCTGCTGCAATTCTTGTTCTCGCATGTCTAGCATATCTTCATATTCTTCAATCAAAGCAGCCTGACGTCTCTCCCACTCAATCTCTTTGACCTTCTTAGCGTGTTTAAGTTGTGTTTCTTTGTTGTCCAATTCTTCTCTTAGGCTCTCAATTTCGTTCATAGCTTCCTCAATTTGTATATCCACATTGACTACCCTAAAATCAGCGGCCTGAGAATCAAAATCATCCTGACAGTCAATGCCTCCATGTTTCGGCTCTGCCGAATTCCTCCTTCTTTCGGCACCCAACTCTTTAAGAAGTATTACATGCTCCTCCTCAAGCCTCTGATATTCAGCTTCCGCTGCTACCCGAGCCTTTTGTTCTTGCTTAAGTGCGTCCGTCAAAGCATCCTTTTCTTCCAACAAAGAGTGAATCCTATTAAATAACCTTTGCTCCTCGTCCTTCCTCTGCTCATCAAGTGCTTCGAAATCTTCCTTCAAATTGATGATATCCACATCTTTCTGTCTAGCCCACTCTCTTGATTCAAATAACTCTTGCGTAATTGCCTCCAAATCATTTTGCCAACCCTCTTCTTTCTCTCGGATTTCTGCAACAAGACGGCGCTCTCCAACAAAGTGCATCTCCATCACATCCCGTGTTTCATGTCGTTCCTTCTCAACTTCTCTGTCAATGCTCAACACTTCATCCCTAAACTTCTGCATGAGAGCCTCCAATTGACGTTCCCTAGCATTGAGCTGAGCTACCAAATCCTCAACTTCAGCTGTCTTCGATGATAGTCCTGCCTCCAAATTCTTCATTTCAGCGTCAGACTGATTCAATTTATCCTGAAACACAGTCCGCATTTCGTCCATTGACATTTGTGAATTAGAAACTTTCCCCTCAAGTTCCTTTCTTTCTAATATGAGTTTCTCTACGAAAACCATCCCCGAGTCTGTTTCTTTATGGTGCTCATCCACTACCGCGTCAGTAGCATGAACAAACGTCTCAATACTCTGACAGCTTTCTCCGTCACTTTCTTCCGAACTCCTTCCTGCTTTGTAACTCTCACATGAAGTATTACTTTGCCAAAAAGTTTCTAGCATATGTTTCTGTTGATCATGAACCTGCTGAGGTGGACTCTCTAACGCCTGCTTGACAATTTTTAAGGAAGTCTCCAATTCTTCCAGTTCGTTTTTGAGAGAATTCAGTTCTCTATCTTTGGCATCAAGCAAAGATGTCCACTTTGAAACTTTCTCCTCAAGCCATTGCTGCTGTTTCAGCACGACCGCTTCTAAACGAAGCTTCTCATCAGCCCATTTCGTGCGATGGGCCTCTAGCTCAATCTCTAAGAGTTTCCTTTCTTGCAATGCTTCAATGTCCCGCTTCTCGTATTTCGACTCCCATTGAACGATGGCAGCCTCCAAGTAACTGCACTTTGTAACTAAATTCCTCTCTCTCTCTACCCACATCGCCTCTACCTGTGCTTCTCTCTCTCTCGCCTTTCTCAACTGCATATGAAGCTTCAGCTCTAAATTATCCTTCCGCGTCACTGGTGTATCCCGCTGCAACTTCCAACGAATGCCCTGCTCATTTTCACTTAATAGAGACCTGGTACTAAGCTTTTTAAAGCTCATATTTTCAAGCTCCTTGTCTAGATCCTTCGAAACAGATGCTAGCCTACTCGCGACAACTTCTTCACCATCCTCACCATCAATCGTCAACTCCTCCTTCATATTAATCAGAAAGGACGATAACATTGTTACCTTCTCCTCATATTCTCCTCGGATACTATTTTCTTCATTCAAATTTTCTAGCAGCTGATCCACTTCCAAGAGCGATTCTTTTCGTCTCTCTTGCTCGATCGATAAGGCCAACTCAGCCTCTGTCAGAAGACCAGAGATCCTGGTCACCTCCTCGTTTGTGGAAAGCAAACTACTCTCCAAATGCAATTCCTTCTCGCGCGACTCATGTTGTTCTTCCTGTACAACATTATAAATGTTTCCTTTCACCTGCAAGATGGGCTGAATGAAGCATTCTTCTTCCTTCACCTGTTCATCAGCCTCCTGAACCCTATCCTCAAAAGCAAGAAAGTTAGCCTTCTGTGGACTAGCTGCAGTCTGTTGATTTGAAGTAGCAACTATCATTTCGGAGTCATTGGGGACAGAGGTACATGGGACAGCTGCAGCTTCTGGCCCTTCTTCACTGAATTGCATGCTTCCTGGCATGTTCTGCATATTATTATCCATGTCATTCTGCTTCTTCTGCAGGCCGAAGTCCTTTTCAACGTGATTTAGCCGTAAATCATCATCCGATTGCCCAGACTCCCCCTGTAACATCCCTATTCCACCTTCAAGCTGTTCCTCACGCCTTTCCATCTCGAAACCCCTCTCTTTTCGATCCACTTCATGTGATTCATCGTCGGCACGCATGCCAAGCCACATTTCATCGGTTACCTGTTTAAATTCAACCTCACCCTCCACCTTCTCGACAATAGGTTCAACACTTTCCTGACCTAATTCAGCTTCCGAATCACTTTCTTTAACATCTAAATCCTTCAACTGTTTTGAAAGCAAGTTAGACACTATTTGGTCAGTGTTTTCTCCCTCTCCAGATAATGTCCTAGTAACCAGTCGTTTACCAGCTTTCCCTACGACATTCTCCAGATTCCTAGGCCTGATAACATTTGTAAAATGGACTAGTTCATTCGGATGGACCTGCAAATTTTCATGTCTTGATTCCGAATTCTCTCTTTCTTCCTTTTCCAAATCACCGAAACTACCAATCCGAACGTAATTCACTGTGCAGCTTTTTGTATCCCCTGGGGAAGAACATGAAGGCCAATTCTCCAAGGTTTCGATGGCCACCGAATGGCATTGTTCATCTCCATAGATCTCTTCGCTCAACCCATTCCTTGATTCTATCAGCTCCCCACTTCGAATCTCATGTCTCCAACTCGATTCCCCTAGCACTACTGAACTTTCAACGTCAACGATAGACTTCTCGAATACATTGTTTCTATGCGTTCCGTTCGTGAAAACACTGTTTACCTCTGTAGTCCCCTTAGAGCATTGAAGAATAGCCACTTGTTCCGCCATCAACATTAAAATAAGAATTCTAAAGCCTCTGCCATACCGCTGGAGGCCTAAAGTTAACGGTCAATCCCACGAATGCATTATTAACAATCGTGCACATGCCAGCAGCCCTAAGTTGCTACCTCCGAAGTAATTGGCCTGCTCCAGGTATGCGTGTTACTGCTTCATGTCTGCACAGATTGCTTCATGTCAGAAACTCTAGCGCCTTAAACTTCCGCTTCCAAAACCAGAAAACACGGCACGTTTTTTGAAAAATCACAATAATTAAACGAGACAAAAAAAAAAAAAAAAAAAAAAAAAAAAAAAAAAGTGAATAACTAGCACTCTCAAGAAATAAGAGTGAACAAGAATTCCCATGGGCGCCTCTCGATTGCAGAATCACAGTTCAAGAGATTTTCAAACAGACTCGGCACAAGAAATCTAGCGAAGTGCAGCGCTACAATCTGCACCTCCTTCAAGGATGGCGATCACCACATCTACAAAGATCGACTGTGACCCAACCGCCAAAAACCTTCGACTCCAATCTAAGCACGAACGTAACAAGAAGTAGTATACAGAGACAAAAGTATACTGTAAAACCTACTTCTCGCCAACAGACTGATCACCGTAACGCGGGCGGATCTGAGCAGGCAATGGCAGATCAACTTGCACTCCTCCGCAGCCAACGAATAACAATCTACCGTAAGCAGAACTCTACAACATAACGCCAAGCGCATAAGCCCAACACAAACAACAGACTATTACGCGCTGCAACCTTCCCGCACTTCCGAACACAAGCCTTCTATGTTCCAACAACATTGCCCTACATGCAACGGCATCTTGGTCGAGAGCGGCGGCAAAAAGAGAGAGACTAACCTCCTTGCAAGATGCCACATCTCTCGAATTAAGGTCTCCTACACTCCACGAAATTATCAAACACGAAACACTTCAAGCTTCTCTACTGCAAGAGGATTTGATTCGTCCAACACACCGTCCACTGCATATCCAACAGCCAAGCCATTGACACCTTCCTAGCGTTGTACACGTCACAAGTGCTCACAACCAGAACAATCCTTTTCAATAAAACGCAAAACCTAAGATTATTCTGCCACACTATAAACAAGTCAGGGCTCGCCAAGCCGTTGCGTCTCTCACAGAACAGTGGAATATACTCGCAACCAAAGAACACAACCTTGCAAGACACCGACTCCACACAATTACAGGAATTCCACAACAAAAATGAAATAAAATAAATAAAATAAAAACACACATAGTTTACTTTGTGGTGAGAAGATTCATCCCCTACAACCCTTCCGATTCTTGACTCGGAGTGGTAGCAAATGCAAAGCATCTACAAATCCAGGTCCACATGACGAATACACAAGCAAATCTCATGCTCTCTCTCACGACGACTGACGATGCAATCGTCAGCCTTCTTCTCTCACTCGGTTACGGTTGCGGGACCGCGATCTGAGCAAAGTTAGGAGCCTAGGGCTACTCCGTGGGAAACGCAGCGAACGACCTCGTCTTCGGCGCCCACGGTGCCAACGACTTCGTCCACTGGAAGAACGATTCTCGTCGGATTGCTCTCCCCCCACGCTGGCAAAGGTCGCTTGTTGTTATGACTTACTAAAGCTACTATTTTCCTTAAAGACCTTTCCAACAATTGCTTTCTAAAATTCAATTCTGCGCGGTTGCCAACATTCTCGAATTCTTTTTTGGTTTTTCTTATCCACACTATTTTATAGGAAAAAGTCATCCAGATCCTATTTAGATCTATCGATTTACATTTTTTGGGTGCTTTGAAACTATAGTTCTCTTTTTGATTTATTGTTACTTTTGTACAGAATTAACAGTAAAAAGAAATTTATTTTATTAAAAATGATCTCATTATTTTTTAATTTGAAAATTATAATTGTATGTAAGTAGAAATGATAAACCACACTATTAAATTTACATACTAACACATCTTTACTAAAATTACTTTTAAAAGTACCAAAAAAAACTTGCAACTGCATATCCTTGCTTTCTATGGCTTTTAACAGTGGGATGCAAAACAAAGATTTTGATATCAACACGTCCTATTATAAATTTATTTTGGAATAAAATACATTCAAAATTAAAATATTTCAAATATATATTTTAATAAATATTAAAATTTATAATAAAACTACATAAAAGTATAATATGTATACTTAAATTAAAATATCAAATAAAGCTTTAAATATGTAATTTGGTTCAATATGCTTTGATATTAAGGTTTTGATGCATTTAATAATCATAATAATAAATAAATAAAGTGTTACAAAAATATTCATATAAAAAAATATAATATCTCATAAATGTTGAAAATAAAAGAAAGTTAAATTTAATCAAGAAATGAATGTATAAGATAAATAAAAAGAAATTTCAACTTAAAAGATATAATGTGGCAATAAAGAAAATAAAAAATTATGTTCTTTTTTAAAAGAAATCATGTATAATAAAAGAAAATTTTAATTTTTAAAAAAATTATCAAAAAAATAATTTATAAAAATATAAATAGCTATATTAAAATCCAATATTATTCTATTGTAAATACATTACATTAAAGGTAGACAAAATAATAAATGAATAGATTGGGATTTTTAATTTATGCTAGTTTTAAGCTTATACAAAAAGAATATTTGATGTTTTAGTACTGTGTTACTAAAAAATTACTAAATAAATATTTCTAATAGATTTTTTATAAGAAAAATTGAAAACTAAGGTTCTTAAAAAAATTCTCATATTTTAAATAATTAAAATGGTTCTATGATACTTAAGAAGTCTTAAAGGAATAAAAAATCTATATTTTTAATATTAATCTTTTCTTCTAATAATAAATTCTATAACATTTATTTATTTTTTTCTTTCTATTTTTTTTCAAAATTATCTACATCTTTTAGATTTTTTACTAGATCTTTTCTCATACAATAAATTTAAAATTATTAAATAAATATTTCAACTTAAATGTAATATTAAACAATAGAAGCTAATGACCATTTATTGTCATGGACATACATATTTATTCTAATATTTATCTATATAATTAAGTAAAAGTAAATAAACATAAATTTATTTCATAATATTTTTTAAAGAAGCTTCATAGAAGCTCTATAGATGCTGCTTTGACTTTACACGTGTTTGTAGTTGATTAGTAGGCTAGAAACTTGGTCAAGAAGTTAATCACGAATAGATAGCTTGTGGAACAAGTTAACTATGTGGCATACATATAAAAAACTTGCCTTGCAAGTTACAATATGTATCTTGTAAAGTCAACATGTTTTAGAGGTCCTATAAAATATTGCCACATAGCTCTTAGTTAAGAGTATATATGGAGGCAAGAGTGAAGTCTTCTTCACTCTTATCAATACCTTTTTAGTCTTTAATCTTATTTTAAGACTTTCTAATCTTTATATCTTTGATAATAACTATTCTAGTTTAATATTATATCATCTTTATGTGGTTTTTTAATCCTTTTGAGTGATATAAGAGTGTATTGAGGATTTATAGAAGAAATCCTCATCTTCAAGATTTATGTCCTTAACAGTTTGATAAGAGTGCTAACTCATTGTTCTTATCTTGTTTTAGAAGTGAATGAATTATTCCACTTTTATTGTTGTATTTTGAAGGTTGTAGATTATCTACCTTTAAATAAATTTTTTAATTTTTTAACATTGATTTTTTTTCTTAAAGAGAGTAGATTACTCTTTTTTTGACATTAGAGGTTACAGATTATCCTCTTCTAATTTGACTTATGGATTTATTAAGTTGCTTGAAATGGAAGAAAAAAATATAGATGCTTTGCTTGGTAGAAGTGAGAATAGATTTTTTTGTCAATATTCTTAGGATATAAATTTTATGCATCACTAGCACGAATTGTGGAAATACTAATTCTATACTTATGAAAGAATTTTGTAGTCTATGTCAAGAAATTGTGTAGTTGAAGGAAGCAAGTAGATTGACCTTACAATCAAATTCAAGAAGTTTTGCTTCTATAAGTATGATGAAGATAAAGATTATTATGCCCAAGAAGTTTGATAGAACAAGATCAAAAAAATTAAGATTTTTATAATAAGTCAAGTTCTATCTAAAATTGTATCATTTTATTATGGACATATGTTTATTGAAATTATTATTTAAATAATAAGAATATATAAAAATAGATAAAAATAGATTAATTTTATAATATCTTCTAAGAAAGCTTTCTAGAAGCTTCACTGATACTATTTTAATTTAACATATATTTATAATTAATTAATAGGTTAGAAACTTAGTTAAGAAATTAATCATATGCCACACATGTTGATAGCTTGTGAAACAAGCTAACTATGTGGCACATATATAAAAAACTTGCTTTGTAAGTTAAGATATGTAACTTACAAAATAAATATGTTTTGGAGGTCCTATAGAATATTGCCATGTAGCTCCTAAGTAGACAGTATATATAGATTCAACAATAAAGTATCAAAGATAAGAACTTGATGAAAGTAAATAAATAAGTATAACAAAATAGAAATAAAGAAGTACATATATTAAAGTGAAATTAAAATGGCTATTGCCAAAAGACAAGAAAACTAGAGACTCTTAAATCTAAATTAGAAGCAAGAAAAGAATTGATAACAGTGAAGAAGGCTTTACTCTTGCTTCTATATATACTATCTAACTAAGAGCTATGACACGATGTTCTATAGGACCTCTAATATGTGTTGACTTTCCAAGATACATGCCTTAGCTTATAAGACAAGTTTTTTATGTGTGCACCACATTGTTAGCTTATTCTTCAAGTTACCAACATATATGATACATGGCTAACTTGTTGACCATGTTTCTAACCTAAAAATCAATTATAGACACCTATAAAATCAAAGCAATGTCTATGAAGCTTTCAAGAAGCTTCTATAGAATATATTATGGAATTATCCTACTTTTATCTACTTTTATTTAATCATATAGGTAATTATTAGTTTATATATGTATGTCCATAATATTACTTCTCCTTCTAGAAACAAGATCTACAAAGAGCAGACATCATATACTAAAAAAATCCAAGATGGAATAAATTATATTTATCACATACTTTGATCTTTATTTTCTTTAAAGATGGTTGGTAAGGCCTTTCAACAATTGATAGTATCCCATATCAGGACAAGAAGACCATCCAATTATTTGATCATTGTTGATGCCTTTATACCTTTCTTCAAATAAAACATTTGAAATACCATTAAGAATTGTTTCTACTTCTAGTAAAATTACCAAACATCAAGTCTCTCTTCTAAGGTTGTGATACCAAATACATTGTATCTTCCCATCTATTTGAAGAAGAATATGTTGTTCTTAAAGATCTTCATCTTAATTGTATCATCTTGAAGATTGAACAATCGAATGTTTCATCTGATAGGTCAACAAATAAAGGCTCTTGAGTCAAATCCATTGGTTATTAGTTCTCCATCTCTTTAGTATCACAAATACAAAGCAACTACAACAAAAATAGAAAGTAGAATGTTATCTTGCCTAGATCTTGTTTCTTTTATAAAGAAGATCTTCATCTTGATTTTGATCGATGTCATTGATGAAAAGCCTTCACTTTTTTTGTTGTATTTGCAAGATTCTTTATTAGCTCCTATGAATGTTCATTAATATCATATCTATGTCAATAAATAAGATATTCCAACCTATTTTGGTACTATCTTAATCTAAGACTTCTTCCACTTCAAATTCTTTATTATTGTCTACTTCTATAGGAGGAAGTGGTACTTGTCTTGTTCTTAGTATGTTCACTATCTTGTATGGTTCAAGAAGAGACATGTGAAGTATATGATGGATCTTCATTCATTCTTGTAAGTGTAATTAATATACAACTGAATTGATTTGTTCAAAAATAAAAAAGATCTAAGCCTATGATAGTTCAACTTGTCACAAAGATAAGTAGTCTTGATATTTCGACAAAGTAATCATATCTTGTCATCCACATTGAATTATGGTTGTTCTTTTCGATATAAATCTACATTGATCTTTTGTTGCTCTTAAGCTTCTTTTAATTGTGTCTTTATTGTTGCATATAACTTTGACAAATAATTTGCCAAATCTTCTATATTACGATTATCAACTATTGAAAAGTCAAAAGTATGAAGTCGTGGATGATAACCATAATTAGTAAAAAAAAATATTTTTTGCATAGAAAAATGCATCGTATTACTATAAGCAAACCGTGTCAATGAT